TTCTTAAGATTCAATAACCTCTATCGCAGAAAATCATCAAATCTTAGTGCTTCACAAGTTAAAAGAATCAAACAATTACGAATTTGATATTTAACTTAGTAGTAGATTGTAAAGAATAACAAACTAGTAGGCCTCCTAGCAATTAAACATAACAATCATGAAAATAAGTGTAGAAGAATATTCAATACGCAAAATAAGAATTAAACAATAAGAAAAACTATTTAGATCTCATAATATGTGGTTCCGAGGTTTCAATTTCCTTCAACCAAGTATAAATATTTAGTTACAATTCATGAATCTAAGAGAGAAATAATGAAGAATGGAGTTTGGAGGCGTTCTGTTGGTTCTCCCCTCGTTCTAGGGTTTTAAAATATGTATTTATAGTTGTTTCCATAGGTAGTTGATTTAAATTTGGAAACTGGAGATTCGTCTGTAAAAGATGTCTGTGCGCGCGCGCCGTATATTTCCTTATCCACGCGCCGTTCATTTGGTTTAGGCTTGGTAAGTAAAATTCATGCCCGTGCCCGCACGAGAGAATTTGCCTCATCGTGCGCACATGTTTGTCTCTAATCAACGTTCAATATTTTGGTCATTACGTTCTCCACATGTATCCGATTGAGTTGATTCAAAATATGTTGGAAAGCTAACTCAAAGGGCTACAACTTCGCTTCAGATACCATCTTCCAATTCGATCTTTTGCCATGTCAAAAATGAGTCTCAAATTGAGACTGAAAATATGATGCATAACTTTTCGATTGGAAATTGATGTGTGATCCTACTTTTAAGATATTTCACCCATTTGACTTCTTTCTTCATCCAATTGACCTCTAACACTCTCAAATCTTAATTGTGAAGTTCAACATGACTTTTGTGTATTTTCACGTTAGTCCTTAAACTTCCTTTCACTTTGGTCTTTTTTCACCTATTTCTTCCAAATTATGCCATCTCCATTGAATTGCCATCTAAATCAATATATGTATGTAATGAGTACATGTTGGCATTGATTAATCATATGAGCACATAAAATAAGGAGGAAAAAATATGTATTTTACATTCTTATCAGAGATCTATAAATATCCAATGAAATAACTTCAAATGTTAAGCTGATAACTTTTTGCCCGCTTATGGCCTGTTTTGGCATAGAGCTGCAACTGCAAGGCTTACATGGGGGAACCAATGATTTGCGACCAACCAAGTCCATTGTCTCAACTAATTATTTCCTCACTTCAGACAAATTTTGTCGTTAAATTTCACTTGCAATTTGGCCAATATGCACATAAAAACACAGGAAATGCTCTTTTCACCTGTATGTGTCAAATGAGTTTGGATAATATCAAAACAGAAAAGAAGTTAAATTATTATTCATAATATTGTTCAGTCTCATCGAGTACTACAAACCAAAAATGTCACAGAAACACCCGTCTATCATTCTCGTGCACAAAATTAACTACAAAGTAGTAAATATAGCAATAAGTTCTGTCACTAGATCTCCTCCTCCATTTTCTTATCCTGTCTCTTTCAGTCAGAGACTGAGGGTTAGGAGAGAAATGAACTAACGTTATTGCATCGCCCTTCGCAAATTAAACCAAGATAAATTTCAGGCTCACAAAGCACCAGCTACGGCCTAAAGGTTTATCGGTAATGGAAGTTTCTTGACCTCAAAATTCTTCTTCACTTTTTATCATCTTTTTCTGCCTCAGCTTGTTAACTTCATCTAGTTGCAGAACTTTTCTCTACATCCTTCGTTGTCTTCACTATGGCAGCTGACAATAACGGCAGAAGAAATTCGAATACTCAGTTACTGCAAGAACTCAAAGCATTTAGTGAGTCCCTCTACCAGTCCCACATTTCTAGTACTGTCCGAAGAACTGCCTCTTGCACTTCCAAGAAGTGCCATTCCGCATATCTCCTCCACCGATGAAATTGGAACAGAAAAAGTTCAGCGGCTAAACCCAAAACCAAAATTGAGGCGCATGTCCCTGTCTCTTTGGCGTTCTCGGCCAAAGCGTGATGTAGAAGACGAGCAGAGAGAACGAAGTATGGTTTCAACTAAGAAAGAAACAAAGAAGTTGGTTGATGAATCAGCTACATCAGAGAAGAAAGGAATATGGAAATGGAAGTCAATTAGAGCACTCTCCCATATTGGTATGCAGAAGCTTAGTTGTTTGTTCTCTGTAGAAGTTGAATCAGCTACATCAGAGAAGATAGGAATATGGAAATGGAAGTCAATTAGAGCACTCTCCCATTTAGGTATGCTGAAGCGTAGTTGTTTGTTCTCTGTAGAAGTTGTCACAGTTCATGATCTTCCAGCTTCGATGAATGGCCTTCACTTATCTGTTTGTGTTAGAAAGAAAGAAAGCAAGGACGGAGGGGATCAGACAATGCCATCAAGGGTTTCTCAAGGAGCAGCTGATTTTGAAGAGACTATTCATAAGGTACCATGTTTACTTCAACCCGGGAAGTGGAACGCACATGAAGTTCGAACCACGCCCATTCAGTTGATGCAGAAGAACTTGATTTTGGAAGAAGTTCTGTAGATTTAAGTCACTTATTTCAGGAATCCATTGAGAAGAGCTTTGAAGGTGCAAGAATTCGGCAATGGGATACAACCTTCAATCTCTCAGGTAAAGCTAAGGGGGGTGAACTTGTTCTCAAATTGGGGTTCCAGATTATGGAGAAAGATGGAGGCATAGGAATATATAGTCAGTCTGACGGCCAGAAGTCGGGAAAAAATAGCAATAGCTCACCTTCCATTGCTCGAAGACACTCAAAATCATCCTTCAGTGTTCCGAGTCCAAGACTGACTAGCCGTGCGGAAGCTTGGACTCCTTCACAGAAAGGAGTCACATCAGATCTTCAAGGAATTGATGATCTGAATCTTGATGAACCGGCTCCAGCACCTTCAACTTCTTAGCCCCGCCAGAAGACTTTGGAAGAAAAACCAAAATTGGAGGACCTCGATCTCCCAGACTTTGAAATGGTGGATAAAGGAGTTGAAATCCAAGATAAAGATGAAGATGGACAATCAGAAGAAAACTCCGTTAAAAGATCAGTCTCAAGCGAGGTTGTCAGGAAATTGTGCACGATCAATTCCACTTGACAAGATTAACAGAGCTTGATTCAATTGCTCAGCAGATAAAAGCTCTTGAATCCATGATGGGGGAGGAAAAAGCAGACAAAGCAGATGAAGAAACGGCGTCCCAAATATTAGATGCAGATGAAGAAACCGTAACTAGAGAATTTCTACAAATGCTCGAGGGTGTTGAAGCTAATAAGTTTAAGATTGATCCTGAAATCCTTTTTCCGAAGGTGGAAAGCAATGAAAATACAGGAGACCGAGTCCTAAGTTTTCCTACCAGATCTAGGGAAGGAATTGGGCTGCGTGGTCCAATCACGCAACGGAGGCTACATGGCAGCTATGAATCTTCTGGATACTACAATTGCCTGGAAACACACACCAAAACTCGCAATGCAGATATCCAAGCCATTCATTCTCCAATCATATAAGAACGGATTTGAGTTATTCCAGAAGATGGCAGCTATTGGTCTCGAAGAACTTAGTTCTGAGATCTTATCATTGATGACATTGGATGAACTTATAGGTAAAACAGCAAAGCAGATAGCTTTTGAAGACATTGCTTCAGCAATTATACAGGGAAGGAACAAAGAAGGGGCTAGCTCAAGTGCTGCTCGCACCGTTACTGCTGTAAAATCCATGGTAACTGCAATGAACAGCGGTAGAAAGGAAACCGGAATATGGAATGTGAGTGAAGCCCCTCCGACAATTGATGACATTTTGGCATTCTCAATACAGAAGATTGAAGTTATGGCAATAGACGCTCTAAAAATTCAGGCTGACATGGCTGAAGAAGATGTCCCATTTGATGTGTCTCCAGTTGATGCGAAAACCATTGGAGCTAATGGAAAAGTATATAATCACCCACTGGCTTCTGCAGTTCCTATTGAGGACTGGATACAGGTTACCGGCACAAAATGTTCTGATGGTGCTTCAGACCCACCAGCCGTAACATTGTCCGTGGTTATCTAACTACACGATCCAATGAGGCAATACGAGGCTGTTGGTGGCCCTATCATAGCATTGATTCATGCAACTCAGTTTTACAATAAGACTGATAGCTACAACGAGGAGACAAGATACAAAGTATCGAGTTTAGGAGTTGGGGGCTTAAAAGTGAGAACTCCAGGAAGAAAAATGTATGGGACACTGAAAACCAAAGACTAACTGCATTGCAGTGGCTGGTAGCATATGGAATGGGGAAGGCAGGTAAAAATGGTAAGTGCCTCGAGTTGAAGGGACCGGATCTCCCGTGGAGCATTTCCTCACGTGTATTGGCAGGCATGTGGCTCAAACCAACAAAGAATCCAGATGTCAAATTCAGCAAGTGAAGTGAATATCAAAAATTTTTATTTCACCAGAAAAAACCCATGCAAGTAGGCAGAGGAAAAAGGAAAAGATAAATCCTTCTCAGCATTCTGTCTCATTACCAACAACATCAATTATCAGAAAAAATAAATGCGCTCGTATATAAGTTAGATGGGGTTTTCATAGCATTGTTCAATTTTTTTGTGAATATAAAAAAATAGTTTATTTTACAACATATGAATTAAGTCTTAACTTCAAAGAATGCTTATAAAATTTAAGTCAACTTGAAGAACTTTGTACGCTGGACTACCAGTAATCCCCACAAGAACAAGAACCATCCTTGAAGTGATGGAACCTATTTGCATCCCTTATGATAAGTTCCCTTGAAGAAACAAAGGATATCATCTTCATCACCAAATGACAATCCTGGCATATTCGTAGGTTCTTCATTATATAAATAGGCATCCAAGACGGCAAAATCATCAACCCAAAAGCCACTGCAAGCTTCTCGCTGTGGCAGCTCCTTGGCCTAGCAGAATCCTTTTCATAGATGTACTTTCCTGTATTCTCTACCATTTCCATAATCTTCTCCAACATTCTGTAGACATCCTTGATTTGAGGGTGACCAGTGTCATCTACGGTGAACACATGCACCCTGTTGTCAACCTCAATCCAGCTGCAGCCTGGATTTTTCTTTATTCCTTTCTCTCTCATTAATTTTCTCACATCCAAAACACCTTCTAACTTTCCGGAGTCAGAATAAAGGTTGGACAGAAGGACATAACTTCCAGAATCGGCTACATCTATTTTTATTAAATTTGACGCTGCAACTTCTGCTAATTCAGTGTTTCCGTGGATACGACATCCACCAAGCAGAGCTCCCCAAACAGCAGCATTTGGTTCCAGCTGCATTTCATTTATCAAATTTATGGCCTGTTCCAGCAAACCTGCTCGTCCAAGAAGATCTACCATACAGACATAGTGTTCGCATGTTGGAGATATACCATGACCCTTGGTCATCAAGTTAAAATAATATTGACCTTCAGGTACAAGTCCAGAATAGCTGCAACCTGATAGAATGGACACGTAGCTTATATGATCAGGTGTGAATCCCAATTTTAACATTTCTTCAAAAATCTCGATCACTTTCCTACCTTGACCACTCTGAGCATAACCAGACATCATAGCATTCCAAGTAACAATGTCCTTCGTAATTATAGAATCGAAAACCTTTTGTGCATCTCCAATTCGTCCACACCTTGAGTACATAGTAACAACACTATTGAGAACTGTCACATCTGAAATAAAACCATCTTTTTGAGCTTGAGCTATGATTTGGTTCCCAAGTTTCATCACTGCCAAATAAGCGCAGCCGCTGAGTGAAGTTGCATAAGTAACCCAATCTGGTTTAACTCTTCTTCTAAGCATGAGAATATAAAGTTTGAGACCCTCTTCCCAGAAACCATTCTGTATGTATGTGCCCAACATTGAATTCCAAGTTATAACATTACGATCTGGCATATTATCAAAATGTTCTCTTGCTTTTTTGATATTTCCATCCTGAGAATATGCAGTAATTATAGCTGTCCAAGATATAATATCCTTGACTGGCATAAACTCAAAAGCACGGTTTGCATTCTGAACATTTCCACACTTTGCATACATTGTAACAAGAGCATTCCCCACAGGCACAGAGGAATGCACTCCTATCTTCATTACATATGCATGGATCTGTTCCCCAAGAGATTTATCCTTTAAACTTGAACAAACTCCAATAACAGTACCAACAGTAAATTCATCAGGTGCCATTGGAACCTCCCTCATCTTTTTGAAAATCTCCAGAGCTTCCTCTCCACAACCAAATTGAGCAACTCCCCCAATTAAAGAAGTCCATGAGACCTCATTCTGCTCTTTTAAGTTACTAAAAACCCGTTTCGCATATTCCAGCCATCCACATTTTGCATACATATCAATCAAACCGCTGCCAATATAGACATCAAGATTTGGCACCATCCGAAGAACTCGAGCATGTAAGTGAGTACCCCATGACAAATCACTGATGCTCGTGCATGCACTAAGAACAGAAGCATAGGTCATCGAGTTTGGTACAAAACCTAGATTGCACATTTGAACAAACATACTTAGTGTCTGCTTTCCAATTCCATGTTGAGATAGGATAGAAATCATGGTATTCCACGAAACAACATCGCGCTCAGGCATTTGATTAAACAAATCAAGAGCCATTTGGATACCATGAAATTTGGAATAGCCATGAATCATACTATTCCAGCAAAATAAATTAGGACCAGATATCCTTGAAAACACTCTCTCGGCATAGTCCAATTCACCTGATTTTATATACATATCAATTATCGATGAACTGATTGATTTACCTTCCCAAAATTCAAACTTTGCAGCTAAACCATGAAGCTGAAAAGCAAGCTTCACATATCTGAGACTTGCACAAGCCTTCATCACACAAGAAAAAGAAAACAAATCCGGAACACAACGGTGATCCTTAATCATCAAAACAAACACTTTTATCGTATCCCTGACCTTCCCATTATTAAAGTAACCTGACATCATTGAGTTCCACGAAATAGAGTCTTTCTCGGGCATTTCATCAAACAGCTTTTCTGCTTCTTTCATCAAACCAGAATCCGCCAGCCCATTAATCATTGTATTCCAACTAAATACATTTCGAAACTCAGCTTCTGAAAAAACCTTCACAGAATCACTGACTAATCCAATCCTCGAGTACGAGTTGATCAGATGGTTTTGAAGAAATGTCGAAGAGTAAAGACCAGAGACAGTGATCTGAGCATGGGTTTTTTGAGTAACAAATATTGATTTTTGAGAAGCAGAAGTTTTGAGGGCCTCGTAGTACCTCTGGGACAAATCCACATAGGAACTTCGTGAAAGGGGATTGCTTTGACATATGAAGTTTTGCTGGGTCGATATGAAGCGAATGATGGGGCATCGAATTGACATAGGACATGATGGGAAACGAATGGACATCAGTGTGCATAAGAACTGGATTAAAATGTAGGCATGACATAATATGAAAGCAACAATTTTCTATAAGAAATACGGAAACTCAAAATCCTGATTGCTTACAACAGGTACACAGCAGCAACAATTGCATACCATATTCATCCAACATATCACAGGGAAATGAAAAGATGCACGTTTAATCAGCCAAAAGCCCTGAATCAAGAATGAAGCCACGTGTCAGTTTGCTAGCATGTATCCCATCCTAATCTTCATTCATACAAACATGTTTTGTTTCTCAAATACAACAAATATAGAATTTATGATCATACAACATGCTAATCAGTTAGTTACTTGGTCCCCTCTAAATTGAGCTTCATAAAACAATAGTTGAGGCATTTAATAAGACCAAGAACAACAATACAGAGACAGGATTAAACTAATATAGTTGGTCACCTCAAACCTTCATTTCCCCTTTGAATACTAAAGTTTTAAAGGGTGGTAATAAATGTGAAAAATGTTAACGCAACCAACATAAGAAAAGCTACTGAATGTACCAAAAGAACAAACACAATAATTCACCTTATGGATTTTCTTTTTGTCCAACTATTCATTTCCAACACATTATTCTTTCATTCAATCATTGTCAAATATCTTTTCACATTCACATTGCACCCATAATCTCACACAACCCACAGCTATTCTAATTTGAAATGAGAAGGATCATCTAACAGCTTTCCATTTCTTAAATTCATCTTCCCCCCGCAAATATCTCTACCCTTAGTTACCCCCACTTAAATATTTTTCACCCATTTGTCAATATCAATGAAGAACATAAAGTTCATACGGCACTGTAGAAAACATCCAAGTATGGAAGAATATTATAGATGGAAATTGTGATTAATTAGAAAAATTATATTTTAGGATAATTGGCAGGATATGGACCTTAGCAGCGACGAAGATTGGAAATGCCCAAAAGATATAGCTCCGTATAAGAAGAAGCAGGAGAACGAGAGAGTATATGAGTTCCTTGCAGGTCTGAATCAGGAACTCAACGATGTCAGAGGGCGACCACTGCCCTCCACTCGCGAAGTGTTCTCCGAGGTTCGATGTGAAGAGACGCGCCGACAGGTGATGATGAAGGAGATCTCCGGAGACGTGTCTGCCTTAGCTACAAGTGGGCCAAGACACACGACTGGATTTGGAAATATAAATGGGCCGGTTGGATCTGGACATTTTAAAATACATGGGCCTGTTGGGCCTAGGTCAAATAATAATTCTAGTGGATTTGGGCCAGCTGGACTTGGAGGAGGAAATTTGGGCCCATCATCAAAAGGCAGTATTGATGGATACAACCCAAAATTGCAGGGATGACCTTGGTGTGAACACTGTCGTAGGTCGAGACATAAAGAAGACACATGTTGGGAAATTCACGAAAAACCCACAAATTGAAAATCAAGAAAAAATAGTAGGAGCCGGAGGTATCAAGTCGAACAACAAGTAACCAAAGTTCTAGTGGTGCTTTCAATTCGGAACAACTGGAGCAGCTTTACCAAATGGTCTCAAACCTTCAAAAATCAACAGTCCCCTAAAGGTCTTTCTAGTTCTCTTGCTCACAAAGGTAACTTTCTTAGAGCCTTAAGAACCTCAAGATCTAAAACCATATGGATTATTGATTCTAGTGCGTCCGATCACATGATGGACTCATATCACCTATTCTCTTCATAACTACCTATGCGGGAAACATTAAAGTAAAAATTGCAGGATCACTCTCATCTGTTGTAGGAAAAAGGGAGTATTTGAATCTCTGAATGCATAACACTACAATCTGTACTTCATGTCCCAAATTTATCGTGTAATTTGTTATCTATCAGTCAATTGACCAAAAATTCTAATTGTTATGCTAATTTCTTTCCATCTACTGCATCTTTCAGGACCTTACATAGGGGAAGACGATTGTCAGTGCTAAGGAGTTTGAGGGACTATACTACTTTGAGGTAGTTGATATGAGTAAATCAAGTCACCTTTTAAGCTGTAATTATGCATCTATCTCTAAGGATAGTGAACTTTTTTTATGGCACAACAGATTGGGTCACCTTAGCTTGAAATACTTAAAACATGTATTACCTTCCATTTCGTTAATAAAACTTATGTTGAGATTCAATGTGAAAGTTGTGAATTTGCAAATCATAAGCGTACATCTTTTCCAGCCTCCACATACAAACCATAGACACCTACTCGAAGTTGCACGTGCTCTCATGTTCACTACAAATATGCCAAAAACTTTTTTGGGGGATGCCATCCTAACTTCTCGATATCTCATCAATCGAATGCCTAGCAGAACTCTCTCTTTCGACTCACCCATACAAAGACTCCAAAACCACTACCCAGCTTCCCACCTCACTTCCAATCTACCTCTAAAAGTATTTGGAAGTACTGCTTTTGTACATATCTGCTCCCATATTCAAAATAAACTTGAACCACGTGCAATCAAATGTGTGTTCCTATATCAATCTACCTATATACAGGAGGAAACTTGAATTCAGGGAGAGACGTCGAAAAACATAGTGACAAAGAGGTGTTAGTTTACTCATGGAAGCCAAAATCAAAGTATAAGGAAACTCTTACATCTGAGGTACCAAAAGAGTCGGAACCGGTGATAGGACCTAAGGAAAATCCATCCAATGAATCTCCGGATTTGAATATACCCATTGCTATTAGAAAACAAACTCGATAATGTACTCTCCATCCTATCTTAAAATTCATATCTTATAATACTCTATCTACAAAGTTTCGTACTTTTACTACTAACCTTGATAAAACAGAAATCCTATTGAATATTCAGAAGGCCTTGGAATCACCCAAATTAAGAGAAGCAGTAATAGAGGAAATGAATGCTTTGGAGAAAATGAAACTTGGGAAGTGGTAGACCTACCAAAATGAAAGAAACCTATAGGCTGCAAATGAGTCTTTAACACAAAGTACAAGGCAGTTGAGACGGTAGAACGCTATAAAGCACGTCTAGTTGCCAAAGGATACACTCAAACCTCTGGCATTGACTACACAGAAACATTCGCACCCGTGGCAAAACTCAATACAGTTTGAGTTCTCTTGTCATTAACAGTAAATTTAGACTGGCCACTTCAACAACTAGACATTAAGAATACTTTTCTTAATGGAGAACTAGAAGAAGTTCATATGATAGCACCACCAGACTTCAACAACAAGAATAAGGAAAATCAAGTATGTAAACTGAAGAAATTTCTATATGGGCTCAAACAATCACCTAGAGCATGATTTAATAGATTTGCAAAAGTATTAAAAAGAAAGATACCAGCAAGGGTAGTCAGATCACACAATGTTCTTCTAATAATCCAGATATGGGACAAAGACTATCCTAATTGTATACGTGGATGATATGATCCTAACAGGGGATCACATAACTGAAATGGAAAGGCTGAATAGGTGTTTAGCCACTAAATTTAAGGTAACAGACCTAGGACAAATGCGATATTTTTAGGGATGGAGGTTGTAAGATCAAAGAAAGGTGTTAGTGTTTCCCAAAGGAAATACATTCTCGACCTTTTAATCGAAACCGGCATGCTGGGATGCAAACCAAGCGACACACCTATTGAGGAAGGAAAATTATCAAAGAACACAGGGAACTCAGTAGAAATAGATAGTTATCAAAGACTGGTTGGGAAGTTAATCTATCTCTCGTACACTAGACCTGACATAACTTTCGAAGTATGCGTGATAAGCTAATATATGCATTCTCCCAAAGAAGCTCACTTGGAGGCAGTATATAAAATCATCAGATATCTAAAAGACACCGCTGGGAAAGGACTGTTCTTCGAGAATAAAATGTAGTAGCACGAAGCAGCGCAAAAGCTGAATTTAGAGCGGTTGCACAGAGAATATGTGAAGGTTTATTGATAAAGAAACTTTTGGAAGAACCGAAAGTTGGAGTGAAATTTCCAATCAAACTATATTATGACAACAAAGCAGCAATCAACATTTCTATCAATTCAGTGTAGCATGATAGAACCAAACATGTAGAAGTTGACAGAAATTTTTATCAAGGAAAAGGTGGGTGAATGAATTATTTGCATAACATATATTCTAACAAAAGAGCAAAGAACAGATATCTTCATGATGAGTGTTCTACACTCATGATATTTATGTCACTTAATTCGTTATTTTGTCATCCTTGAGAGATTTTTAGAGTATTTTTATGTGTGTTAATCAAGTATGTAAACTGAAGAAATCTTTATATGGGCTCAAACAGTCACCTAGAGCATGATTCAATAGATTTGCAAAAGTATTAAAAAGAAAGATACCAGCAAGGGTAGTCGATCACATAATGTTCTTCTAACAATCCAGAGATGGGACAAAGACTATCCTAATTGTATACGTGGATGATACGATCCTAACAGGGGATAACATAACTGAAATGGAAAGGCTAAATAGGTGTTTAGCAGCTAAATTTAAGGTAAAAGACCTAGGACAAATGCAATATTTTTAGGGATGGAGGTTGTAAGATCAAAGAAAGGTGTTAGTGTTTCCCAAAGGAAATACATTCTTGACCTTTTAATCGAAACCGGCATGCTGGGATGCAAACCAAGCGACACACCTATTAAGGAAGGAAAATTATCAAAGAACATACGGAACTCAGTAGAAATAGACAGTTATCAAAGACTGGTTGGGAAGTTAATCTATCTCTCGCACACTAGACCTGACATAACTTTCGCAGTAAGCGTGATAAGCCAAAATATGCATTCTCCCAAAGAAGCTCACTTGGAGGCAGTATATAAAATCATCAGATATCTAAAAGACACTGCTGGGAAAGGACTGTTCTTCGAGAAAAATAAACGAAAGGAGTAGAAATATTCACTGACGCAGACTGGGCTGGATCAACAGAAGATGGGAGGTCTACTTCAGGCTACTGCACCTTTGAATGTGGAAATTTGGTAACTTGGAGAAGTAAGAAACAAAATGTAGTAGCACGAAGCAACGCAAAAGCTGAATTTAGAGCGGTTGCATAGAGAATATGTGAAAGTTTATGGATAAAGAAACTTTTGGAAGAACTGAAAGTTGGAGTGAAATTTCCAATCAAACTATATTATGACAACAAAGCAGCGATCAACATTTCTCTCAATTCAGTGCAGCATGATAGAACCAAACATGTAGAAGTTGACAGAAATTTTTATCAAGGAAAAGGTGGGTGAATGAATTATTTGCATAACATATATTCCAACAAAAGAGCAAAGAACGGATATCTTCACCAAAGGGTTATCCAGACAAATCTTTGACGACTTTGACCGCAAGTTGAACTTGGTCAATATCTATAGTCCAACTTGAGGGGGAGGGTAGAAAACGTCCAAGTACGGAAGAATATCATAGATGGAAATTGTGATTAATTAGAAAACTTATATTTTAGGATAATTGGCAGTTTATTTGTTTTCCTTACTAGATAGAATATTTTTTTTCCTTTTTTCTTCCAACCTTGTATTATAAATTGATTGTATTATTGTTGAAATTATTATTATTACATAAAAATTCGTTCTAACCGTGTCTTCAGGCACCTCCTCCGAATAAAAGATACAACTGACTTAAAAACCCAATTTTTTTTTATTAGAATAGCAGTTAAATTAACAACTATGTTTGTTAAATAAATCGGCAGTCATTTTTTCCATATGATTCTCTCTTATCCTCTATTTTGCCTTTCTCACCTTTAAATTACCAAAGAGAAATTAAACCAACAGACAGTCATAAGGATTACACCAAACATGGCCCTATATTGTCGGGTCTGATAAGACAGATGGGAAAGTATTAAGGAAGTAGTTAAAATCTTATCTACAATATTATCTAGTCATGTCTAGTATTGCACACCAAACATGTCCCATATATTTACAAGGATTACATATAGTAACTTAAAAGTTAAAACAAGCAAATGCCTTTTCTTCTACATCCTGGCAGACGGGGTAATCCCTTCCCATAGCATCACAGAACATTGCACCAAGATAGTATTCACCAGGTGAGTAATAACTTGAGCCAAAAGGGAGGGAAAAAAAGGCAGTATGCATAAGAGCTGGATTAAAATGGTTTGCATCGAAATCTCTCATAATTTTGGCATAATATATTAGGAAAGCAACAATGCAACATGTCAATCGGTTAATTACTTCATCGGGAGATTTAACTCTAAGTATTTTGAATATTTGAGGCTTTTAATATAAACTAGAACAATTGAGAGACAGCTAATAGACTAATATAGTTGGTCACTTCACAAACCGTCCTTTTCCCCTCGAATACTAAAGTTTAAAAGGTGCACAATGAATGTGAAACTGATGGATGATGGAGTTAGATTCTTTAACGGTCGATTCTCAAGTACACATTATAGGACACCATAACCTACATTAAAAATGTTGCTGAATCTGAATTGTTAGTCAAAATGTTGTTAAACGACCTCCCGGCCAATGATTTTAATCATTATTTATTCAGTCGACATCGACCAATGACAGAAGTGAAATATCGATACCACAATTATAACGATCCAAACCTATAGCCTATTTGGGTAATTTGAAGTAGCCTAATTTAATTAGAACTACTCATGGACCGACCCATTACTCCTTGGATGGCTTTTGGTTGATATCTCATTCATTCATTACCTATTAACTCTTGGGCAAGCCCACTTATTCCTTATATATGCTGGCTCTCATTTGTTGCCTTGGCAATGTGTGAAAACGTTATTTTGCTTGCCCATTTGTGTGAGAGAAACCGGCTGCATTCCTTGGCTTTGTGCTTCCTCTTTGTGGGTTCTTTTTCATCTCTCTTTCAGCCTCTGTGGCTATTTTTGTGGCTTCAATAATAGTTCATACCGTGTCCTTTGTGGGCAATACCAATCAACCAGAGTTAAGGATGGTTGTAGGAGTGTATGGATCTTGGAACTTTGTAGTGTCGATTCCCGAAAACTTTGGTGTCAATATTCCGCTTAACATTTAGTATCAGAGCTTTGGTGATGTGGTGTGAAAGTTCAGGCCAAGACCAGAAACCGACAGGAAAAACAGATTAAAAAATCTTTTCGATTTTTTCATCTCCAATCGAACCTGCAATCACATTTTCTGGCCAAACCAGCCGTTTGAAGAATCCGATACCACAGGGAGAATCTGTAGGTGGAGGCGCTCCTAGGTCCACCGCGCGTGGTGGTGACGGCCGCCAGTGGCGACAGCTCGTGGGAGCTCCGACAGCGGCAAGTGGAGGCGCGTCCAGCGTAGTTTGGGGAAACTTTCTTCGGACAGTATTATTATAACGAGATTTCTAACGTTTTTGTAGTGTTAGTTTTCTGTTTCAGGTGATATGGCGAAATTTGGACGATTTTGTCCCTACGCATTTGTGATTCAGTTTTGCATTTGATTGGTTGCGGGAGACTTTAGAGTGAATAGTGGTGGCCCTAAAGTGTCAAATTCGAATCCCTCGTTACTTACGGACTAAGATAGGTTTGCTATGGTAAATTAACTAATCCCTTTAAATTTCCAGCACTAGCGCGTCATCTTGTGGGGTGACAATAGGATTGGGGTTACAGTGTGGGGTAACCATTGCATGTGCTAGAAATTAAAAACTACTTGCCTTTAATTGTGACGAGATTAAATTGTTTATTTGATAAATTTCGACATATTATCTCTGTGATATACTGTGCGTGAAACTGTTTGATTGATATATCTTTTGTTGCACTGTTAGGTCTCTAGAATACCTAGACATTACCCTTTGAACATTCCTTTAATCTAAGATCGAGAATCTTACAAAACCCTAAGAATCTAAAACGGTGTATATTGTTTGCAATCCTAGGTCTACGTTATGTGGCTTAATTGTGATTTTGTATTTTTTTGATTGATTATTAAAATGACAACCCACAATTTTGATTTGGGAACTTTTAACGGAAAATGTGATTTTTCAATCTAGCAACAAAAAATGAGAGGTATTTTGGTTCAACAAAAGGTTTCAAAAACCATTGATGGCAATTTTCACGCTGATTTTTCAAGAGATCAAAAATAAGAAGATGATGAGCTTGCTTATACCTCAATTATTTTACACTTATCTGACGCAGTTGTGAGAAAAGTGGTAAATCGAAAACCATTAAAAAACTTTGGAAAAAGTTGGAAAACTTGTATTTGTTTAAATCTACTTCAAACAAGTTTTACTTACTTAAGTGTTTTTTCAGTTTTAGAATGGATTCTTCAAAAGATTTTGATNGTTTTTTCAGTTTTAAAATGGATTCTTCAAAAGATCTTGATGAAAATTTAGACGTGTTTAACAAACTTGTTCAAGATATTTTTAAATGTGAAGAGTCAGTATCTGATATTTTTCATAATTTTAATAATTGGAAAAGACAAGTTGAGAACTAAACTAGTAAGAAGATTAAGTTTTTGAGAACTGATAATGACATAGAGTTTTGTAACACTGAATTTGACAATCTGTACAAAGAAAAATGGGATAACAATATATAAAATTGTTCCTTACACTCCCCAACAAAATGGGGTAGCGGAAATGATGAATATAAATATACTTGATAAAATGCGTTGCTTGATGTTAAGTTCCGGAGTCCCAAAGTCTTTTTGGGGAGAAACTGTTATAACTGCTTGTTATCTGATTAATTTGACTCAATTTGCTGCATTGAATGATGATACTCCGCATGAAAAATGGTCTGATAAATTAAGTGATTATTCTATACTTAGAACTTTTGGTTGTGCTGCATTTTCTCTTCAGAGTGAGAAAAAGCTTGAACCCAAAGCTAAAAAAATGTGTTTTTCTAGATTACTCTGAAGTTGACAAGGGTTATAGGTTAATTTGACTCCATCTGCTGCATTAAATGGTGATACTCCGCATGAAAAATGGTTTGGTAAACTTAGTGATTACTCCATGCTTAGAACTTTTGGCTGCACTGCTTTTTCCCATCAGAGTGAGGGAAAGCTTGAACCTAAAGCTAGAAAATGTGTTTTTCTAGGTTATCCTGAAGGTGTCAAGGGCTACAGGTTGTGGGATAGGAGCCAAAAAGGGGTTAAGATCATTGTGATTAGAGATGTTATATTCAAGGAGAGTGAAATGTCGTGCCTTGAAACTATATTTGAACTTGTGAGTGAAGAAGAACAAGGTGAAGAGAGAAATCAGTTGAAGGTGGAGTTACACAGAGTGCGGTGGAGTTGAAGGTGATGTTACACAGAGTGAGGTAGAGAATCAGGATCGACAACCCGATATGGAAAATAGAGAGAAAGTAGTGATAGAAGAACATCCTGAAAAAGAGAATCCTTTAACAGATTATAATTTAGCTAGGGATAGAAAGATAAGACAGTCTAGAGCACTTATAAGATTTGAATATAAGTCTGAGATAGCTTTTACTCATGGGAGCTATGAGGACTTAGCTGATAGAGAGCCAAAGACGTTTGAGGAGGCGATGAGAAGTGAACAATCTAAAGAGTGGTTTAAGGCAATGAAAGACGAGATGAGTTCCTTAGAAAAGAATCAAACTTAGGAGCTAGTACCTAGACCTAAGAATAAATCTACTGTTGATTGTAAGTGGGTATTTAAGGTTATAGCATGGTTTAAAAAGGCAGGAGTGAGGTGCATGTAGTATGCCTTGAGGCTGTATTGTTTAGGCTAAAATTATGAGGCTCACGCCTTTCAATCTGAGACGTGCGCCTCATTTAAAATTTGATTTTTCAATTGTACGAAGATGATGGGAAAATTAGATATGATAATGATTCCATTAACGATGATAGTAATAGTGATGATAGTGTAAACTATTAGGATTTTTTTAATTTAAGCTGCCTTTTTTCAATTACAAATGGAGTGATTTCTAACTTCTGTAATTTTTTTTTCTAAACATCTTCTTTCTTTAGGTGGACTATATCTCAATATGCTAATGACTATATATCCTATTTACTATACGCTCCAACTTTTTTTTTTGTATTTTTGTATTATTTTATAATTCTTTTACTTAGATTTTTTGTTTTTTGTGAGGCTTACGCCTCGTCTCATAAAGAAAAACTGTCTTAGTATTTAGTTTCGCCTTTTTAAACCTTGGGTTAAAGAGGGTACTAGCGCATTTGAAACCTTAAAATTTAAGGCTAGGTTAGTGGCGAAGGGGTACACTCAGAAGGAGGGGGTTGATTATTACGAGATTTTTTCACATATTGTTAAGTATACTACTATTAGAGTCATACTTGCATTGGTTGCACATTTTGACCGAGAACTTGAACAACTTGATGTAAAAATTGCTTTTGACATGAACTTGATGAGCAAATTTTTATGAATCAACCAAAAGGTTTTAAAGACAAACTAAAACATGATAATGTATGTCAAGGTTTAAAAATGCGAAACTAAGTAATGAGGCGATTTTTCTTTATGAGGCAAGGCGTAAGCCTAAAAAAAAAAAAATCTAAGTAAAAGAATTATAAAATAATACAAAAGTATCAAAGTTTGAGCATATTTTAAATAAGATATATAGCCATTAGCATATTGAGATATACTCCACCTAAAGAAAGAAGATGTTTAAAAAAAAAAGCATTACAGAAGTTATCACTCCATTTGCAATGGAAAAAAAGAAGCATCTTAAACTAAAAAAAAGCCTCATAGTCTGCACTATCATCACTATTAATAATTTAATACATACCAAGAGACCGTTTAGTGAAAGTTAATTTTGCTTGTTCGAAACCAAAGAAATTCTGTTTTTCAACAAATTGGTCTAACTGGAGACCTGCTCTCTCCCTTTCAGTTGGATCGGAAATGAGTCTCACCATGCAATTATACAAACCCGCCATAACTTCAAAATGCCTGGAAAAATTATCAGCATATTGACAACGAGGATTCAAATGCCTTTTTAAATGGGCCCTCTAATTTTTGGCTGCTGTTTAGTTTTCTAGGTATTTTATTGTTTTGTTTGGGCTTAAAATGACTTTTTAAATGGGCCATTTTCTTTCTTAAGAAGGGCACTTTCTGATCTCTTTCATACGATTGAAAAATCAAATTTTAAATGAGGCACGCACCTTGAGGCGTGAGCCAAATATTTTTAGCCTAAAAAATACCGCCCCGA